CCCGGTGGTCAGAGCCCCGGCTCCCTGCCCCTCTTCAGCCCCGGTCGCCCTGGGCACTGGGCCGCCGCGGCGGGCAAGCCGCAAGCTCCGGCTCGGGCGGGACAGGGCCGCGGGCCCGGCTGCAGCTCGCCGGGGGGAAGGCGGCCCAGGGAAGCGCCTCGGCCTTGCAGCCCTCGGGCTGGAAGGGACCGCGCTGGCTGGGCTTTCGCGCCGTGACTGCTGCTCCGGCGCTGGCTCTTGTTTCGCTTTGAAAACGAAATCCGCTGCGAAGTGCAGCGGAGACGACCCGCGGCGCTGCAGCCGGGCCCGGCGGGGCAGCGGGCGACGATCCACCTTCCTCGTGCGGCGCGACGCGCCGTCCCACCGCGCCCCTTGAGAAGGCGGGAGCGGGGCCTCTCGGCAGCTGCTGATCAATTTGCAGGCAGCTGCAAGGATCGGGATTTAACGGCGCTCTCGGGCTTTATTTAAAGGCCATCGGCCTCCGCAGGCCTGGAGTGTAAACTGTTCGTGATTTCCTTCCCTCCATGAAAGACATCGGCACGGCTCCGCCTGCTTCCTCGGCCGGCGCGCGGGACCCTCCCCGGCTCCCTTTTACTCCTGGAAAAACGGGCCGAGTAACCAACTCCAAGCGCTCGCCCTTGGGCGGCCCGAGCGGCTCGGGGCCTGCTTTAAAAGTATTCGTTTATTATTTTAACCGAGAAGCAAGTGGCAGACGTGCGTTGTCTTTCTTTTTCTCCCCGTTTTGCTTCATTCCGTGTCGCCCTCCTGCCGCCGGGCTGCGGACCGTCTCCTTGCCTGCAGCACGTATTCATTAGCTCGGTCGCTTTGGCGTTGCGGGAGGAAAAGAAATCGCGGTTGTTGTTACAGTCCTGCCCAGGGCTACTGGTGCCGCTGCCGCTGGTGGCACTCGTCCGCCGCAGGGCCCGCTCCTCGGGCTGCGCACAGGTGAAGGCTCCTCAACTCGCCTCGTTTCCCCTGGCTTGAGGCCTCCGGGACACGGGGGGGCTCGCGCTCCGGTAGCCCCTGCCCGCTCCCTCGGCCCGGCGCCTTTCTCCGGACCCCAGAAAGTTTCACGCAGGTCCTCGGCGCGCTCCCGGCCACGGCGGCTCCCCCGGCCATGGCCTCCGCACGGGGAAAGAGAGAACTCAGTGCTAAGGACTTAGCATTAGCTAACTCCCCGCCAGGCACACACGCGAAATGCCCTGGGAACACCGTACTGCCCGCGAGTCTCTGGTCAGGCAGCCTGGCGAGCAGCCTTCAGCCGGCCCCGGGGCTGGGGAAGGCGCTGGCTGCAGCTCCCTTGCAGCGCCCTTCGCGAGGGCGAGGGCGGCGCCGGCGACACGGAGGTGGGAGGGCAGCGGGGTCCCGCCGCTACCACTGCGCCAGGGCCCGGGGAGCTGCCCGCCGCTGGGGGCCCGCTGCGTGTGTGCGCCTCCACCGCCTCGCAGCTCCCCGGGGAAGGGGAAATGAGCTTAGGCGGGTGAGGCGGGAGCCCCGCTCCGGCGCGCGGCTCCTTT